GGGGGGGGGGGGGGGACAGGTCATTGTAAATTTGTCCTCCCACCATTGCAGCAGGCCTAGCAGTGGGAGATGGTGCAGGGACTGGTGGGAAGGGAGTCAAGTACCTGTTCTCTGCCCCTTGCCACCTGTCCCCCCTACCTCTTGCCTCCCCCTCAGCTGCCTGCCCTTCCTGGTGCTCATGTGCCCCATATCTGCCCCCCATTGAGGTTTGTACCCCCTGCTACCTGCCTCCATGCTGCCTGCCCCTCTCCTACCTGCTCCCCCATGCATGTGTCCCCTGGTGCCTGCCCCTTCCCTCAGTGCCTGCACCTCCTGGCACTGCCCTCCTCATTCCCCCCCCACCATTGCCTGCCCCCCTTGCCTCCAGCTCCCCCCCTGCTTGGCTGTCCTCTGCCCTCCCCTACTGTTGTCCTGCTCCCTCCCTACCCCCTTCACCACCACGTAACCTTTCCCTCTCAGCTCCAGCTCTGGCTGGGGCCCTGCTCCAGCTTGGGGCAAGGAGCCCAGAGAATGTGCTGCCTCCAGCCCATACTCTGTAAGTAAAAGGTAAGGTGGGGGTGGGGCTGCCGGGGAGCAAAGGTCAGGAGGAGGAGCAGAGGTGGCAGGGGGGCAGCAACTGCGATTCTGACTCCAGGCTAGATCAGAGCTGCTGCTGCTGCTCCCCCACATGCACTGCAACGCACGCGCACGCACGCGCGCGCACACACACACACACACACACACACACACACACACACCCTTGTACTCAAATCTAAGATGAGGGGCTTTTTTCCTCCTGTGTTGAACTGGTGAGGGTGGTGAACCTTGTCTTGGATTTTAATAAGTTTAGCAATAACAATACAATAGTTTAGCAAAGTATCCTTCATTTTGATGTTACAAAATATTCCATGTTTTACAGTGAAAATTGTTCATAAGCTGTGATTCAGACTCTCACATCAATCTTTATTTCAGGGAGGTGGAGGAATGTGAGGAATGAATTGCAACTGTCTAATGCTGCTTCAGAGACTTCAGTCAACTTCTTTATTTTTCCTAATTGCATCGAATTCTCTTATTCTAGTTCTAATCATCTATTCAGTATAAAATTTATTAGTGGAGCAAATAATAGCAATGATACATACAAAGTTATTTGAATCAAACTGAGGAGAAAAGTTTCTGGTACAAGCTTGAAAAATTTTAAATGTACATAATGTAATAATGAGACTACCCTCACTTACCCCTTCTTATTTTTTTCACCCAGAAGTGGAAGAACTATTAGCTTCTCTTAAGCATATCCAACACATTTTGGCAGACCCCCAGAGTCAAGAGGATATCACCCTCATTTTACAACTTGTCCAAAATACTGATTTTCAGAATGCATTTAAGATACACAATGCTGTCACAGTGCACATGAACAAAGCCAGCCCTCCATATCCTCTTATCTCCAATGCACAAGAGCTAGCACAAGAGGTATGTACAGTATGCTTTTGCATGATATATTTGTAACTTGTAATTACTGCTGTGTCATTGGAAACATTCACTTTTGATCTGTATGGTAAGCTTGCCTAAGTTGTTAATCATTTTTTGAATAAAATGGATCAGAAGAAATGAACAGTGACTGTCTTGCATCTGGTTTTTCCAGATTTAAAAATAGCTTCCAGGACAAAAATAATCTTTGATAAGAAATTTAACTGAATTGCAGTATTTAAATCCAGTTAAAGGAGCAGTAGTATATCTGTTATCCTTTAGCTCCCATAATTCATTTCTAGTACAAGTGGGTATTGTTCGGTTAGTCCATTATCACTGAGACATTATTTTGAGCATTGATCAATATTTTTAAAATTGGAAGACACCTCTTAGAGTGGAATCATACCAGAAATTATAGTCTTATCTTTAAACTTAACTCCCAGTTTTCATGTTGTGGTTACCAGTATCACAAATCACCAACTCTGATCCTGGAGCCAGCATGTCTAATAATAGAATTTTCAAATTCCTACATTTTGATGTCTCGTCCATCAGGCTCCTTTCTCTAAGTGATAGTCTTGCTTGCCATCAGAAACAGTTGGCATCTGGCTGATTTACCACTGCCTTTTGGTTTTTATTTTCTGGCAAGCTGACTTTTTCTGTCACTGTGGGCCTGGATAAGCTGGAAAAGCAGAGACTGTGTTAAAACCCTCTAATCCTTCTGTGTGATTTTTTCAGGATACCTACATTTCACCTTCCTTTAGCTCCCACAGGGCTGCCATTCCAGGAACATGCAAATGTGGTGGTAGTAATTACAATATGAAATCCCTGAAGAAAGTAATCTTCTGCATACCTAACTGAATTTAAATCCTTACATCTTTTGTATTTTGGGACTGTAGGTGGCATTCCATATTTTGTTGCATGCAACTCAATTATTGTCATATTCACCTGGATGAATAAGACTACCTATTCCTTCTGTTACCACTGATTTTTAAATAATTTCCATTTTTCTGTGTTTAAGAAATGCATTTGATTATAGGAGAAATGGGTTGCAGTATTCCTAAAATTGTCAGTTACAAAATAACATCTTAAGGCTTGGGGGGGCAGGAAGCTTCCTGAAAACTCAAGTAGAAGCTGCTTAGGACTTCCAAATTACTTCAAGAGTATAGATAAAAGGGCTGAATTCATCCTTGCACCTATGCATGGCTCAATATCTTAATGAAGATACTGTTTAATTAATCTTAATTAAGGTATGGGGTAGTGTGAATGTTTGTTACTTTCTTCCCTCTTAGATCATAAGGCTGATGGGGAATATCCAAAGCCTGGAACTTTCTGGCCACTTTCCCCTCCTACATGTCCCCAGTATTCCCCATGACAGGCTCTCTTTGTTAATTCTGTGCCTGATGGTAGGCAAGGTCTCCTGTTCTGGGAAAAAGGTATATAGATTCATAGGTGAAAGAAGTACTAAACACAGTAAGCAATACTGGAATTAATTGTGGATGGAGAAAATAGAATATACTACATTAATTTGTTAAAGGCCTACTCCCCTTGTTAAATAATTTTGGCTGATTATTGAGCAGCTTCCCTATTGAGAATAAATTACCATATTCTCTCATATATAACGCACATCTTTTCCACAACATTCAGCTCTTGGAAATTGGGGTGAGCATTTAAGAAATCAAGGAAACTCCTATAGTCATTGAATAAGATAACAGAAGTTTCTGTCACTTAACCCTCTGCCAGGGCTCCCTAGCTACTGGCTATGGACACTTTTTCTTTCCTTCCTTCCCCTTCCCCCCCCCCCCCCACCCCCTTTTGAGGCTCTCCAGAAAGATCTGTTTTTCTTCATTCTGCCTTTCAAAAACAAGGTGCAGTTTTTATTCAAGGGCATGTTGTATACAAGAAAATACAGTATTTTGCTAGCAGAGGTTACTAGAAATCGCACAGAATCAGCAGATTGAAAAAAATGCATATTTTGCCCACTTGTGACAGTAAATTTTAATTTTCACAGGATGCATCTTCACAGTAGACTAATTTGCTGCAATGTAAAGCATTGCAGTCTACATATGTGATGCTATTAGGTTGCAGCAAACTAATTTTTGCTGCCGTAAGATAGTACTATAAGGGACAATGTTGTCTTATGGTGGCAAAAATAACTGTACCTCTAAACACACGTGTAAACACTAACCTGGGCATACATTGTGCCCGGTTAGCCCAGGCAGCAGGGGGCCAGACCCTTGTCTGCTGCCTAACCACAAGGCTCCACACACTGGGGAACTCCTGTGCCCCAGCCACCCCTTCCACCTCCTGATACCACCACCTGGGGCTGACCTCCCAGGCCCACTGCCAGCCTGGGGCTGCTCCACCCCAGCTCAACTGCTGCAGTCCCAGGTGCAGCATCTGCAGATGCACCCTAGACTGCAGCAGTTAGAGCATCTATACAAACCATTAAGGCTCCATGTTTACGCCGGATTTTATTACATGGCCTTATTGGCATATGTAGATGCACCCACAGGTGGCCAAGCAATTAAGGAATTGTCCAATAATTTTACTTCTCTTCCCCAGCCCTTTACACAGGGTATGTCTACACTGCAGAAAGTGTAACAGCAGCTTGTGTTGACATATTGAAGATAGCTTAGCCAAATTGCATGGGTACCGATAGTCACATGGTTGGAGTGTGTCTGCACACAGTTCAGTGTGCCTGCAAAGTCTGCCTGAGAAGCCAAGTAAATGCTCAGGCTGGTGAGCTGGTGCTGAGTTCTGTAATGCTACAGCTACATTCCTATGAGTACCTGAGATAGCTAGTTTAAGGCTAACTCAGGTGTGTTCCCATAAGCTGAAATTGTACTTTTGACTCCCATGTAAAAACCCACTGTTTCACTGTAATTCTAGATGCATGCACTCTCTCCTTTGGTATCCTCTGGTTCTTTACTGCCTGTCAATAGGGCACAAGTATTTTTGGCACATATGCACATGCCTTTTCCTCGAATTTTCTGTCTTTTGAGGAAGTCAGAAAGCCAAAGTGGAACCTCATGCTAAAGTATCACCATCTAAACCAGACCCTTTATGAGCTGTGGAAGACTGAGACACAAGTTCAAGCTATTTTGCAGAAGCTGAAGGGGGAAACTTCCAAATGTTTATTGCTGCAAAATGTGCAACCCGTTTATTCTAGAGGTTGGGTTTATTGCAGCTCTGACTTAAAGAAGCTGTAGTTTGTAGGGCTCTTGGTATAGCTATTTTCCTACAAAAAGGCTAGTAAAAATAACAACTTAAAAACATATTTATAAAGCTACAAAGTTAAAACAAAACCAAAAAAAAATTTACTCTGGTAATATTGTGTGTAAGATTGTACATACATAGAAGTTTGGATTATTCTTTCAACTGTTTGGTTTTAGCTATAGTATGTGCCATTTGCATAAACTAAAATTGCCGTGAGAACTTTCTCGCTCTTTTTAAAAATTTGCAATACTTAACATTAAATTCAAATAAATGATTGCCATTTTATTAATTTTTAGGGCGTTCTTAAGAGTTACACTGTGCCAACTAAAACAGTTGTACTGTAATGTTAGCGAGAGAAAGTGTTAACTGATCAGCCGCAAAAACTTGCAATTTGTCTTTTTGAGAAACTTTAATTAAATTAAAAGGCTGAGCAAAGCATTCAAGCTTAAGGAATTTATGTGGAGATTAACTCCCTAAAATAATGTAGAGCACTCTACCTCTTGAATAAAAATAGCTCTTTGAACATCAGAAGTAATTAAGTTGATTTTAAAGCCAGTTAAACTTGACAAAATTGAGGGCTAGAATTAGGGAAATATGGCTTGAATGTTGACCTATGACAGCATTTGATACAGTATTCAAGCAGGTTTTAATTTCTGGCACGGAACAGCTTGTAGCAGAGCACATTAGCAAGAACATTCTAAAACCATTCTTGTTAGACTTAAATTTGTCATGCTTATATTGGGTGAACTCTGCAAGTCTTCCTCCCCCGCCCCTAGCAATGAAAACATATTGTGCTCTTTAGCAAACCTGTCTTGCATTCACTATGATGCCTATATAATAGAATTGCATCAAAATTTTAAGTAGAGTAAACTAAAAACTTAGAACTCATGTAAAGTTATCAATATGCATACACCTACATTTCTGTATATGTTTATATTAACATGGGATTTGAGATAAAATTGACCTGCTGGTTCTGTTTAAATTCAGGAAAACAATTTTTTGTTTATACGTTTAACTCTTTTTTTTCCCCCCTCCAAATTATGATTTGTAATTTGGCATCCACGTTAATGATTCTGCCCGTCTATTTGAGCTAAAATACAATGGTATGTTAACGGGCTGTTTCAGACTAATAGCCCATACACAGAAATATTTTTATGGTAATACCAGATTTCTTTTAATGGGGTGTCTCAGTTGGAAGCCGTCAGGGGATGGGGAGGGGCGAATAGCTTGGTGTACAATATTAATTATAAAACCAAAAATGGGTCCAACTGGTATTAATCTGTCATTTTTGGCAAGTCAGCTTAGATTCTGGTTCTACTTCCCTATCTGTAAATAGAAACATTCATATCTGTGGCATTTATTACAGGTGATAGCATAGTAATCTGACAGTGTAATAAACATATAATGTATGGTATATCTACTGGAATGGAATCTTCTAGGCCCATAACAATGATATTAAATAAGGAAAACATGAAATTTCTCTTTATGTGAATACATTCCTTCACTGTGCTTAAAGAAGAATTAAACTCTTCTAAACAGAAATCATTTTGACATGAAAACTTATATGGTATTAAAACAAAGTCTGGTTGGGTTAAATTTGTAGGTATGGATCCTAGGGGAAAGAAGGAAGAGGGAGTAATTTCTGACATTGCCTTCATAAAATTTTCTCTTAAAATCACTGCTATAAAACCTTGAAGAAGTAATACTCATTGAACCTGTCTATACATACCAAGGCATAAGTGGCTTATCCCAGTTCAATCCCCACTTTTATTCCTGTCAGATAAAGCAGTATAGAAGCCTTTCCATTCCACCTAAGTATCATGCAGCGTCTAGGAAAAGTCTCAAGTGTGTGTGTGTGTGTGTGTGTATTTCCCCCCAGAAAATAGTTTATAGTAAGGTCCTTGTTCCTTTTTTCTTCAATTTTGTATAAATTCACATTGCTATATGTGCCTACCCTATAAAACTCTTGTGATACGTTTTATAACAGATACAGTTTCATGCAGTGTGCTCTTGCCCCAGCTCATCCCCACATCCCTTTTCAAGCATTCAGAAGGTTGTGCGCCTGGGTTGAGGGCCATTTGTACACAGAGGAATTTTGTCAAGTGCTTCTTTAAAAGGGCCCCAAAAGATGGACAGGTGAGACTTCAAAGTTTTGTAAGGCAAAGAAGCTCCATCAGGCAAGGAATTGGAGAGCTTCTGAGAATGGCATACATCAGGAAACAGATGGTAGTTCTGTGAAGATACTTGGATGCTACACTGTACCATGTCCGAACAAATGAAGAGGGGCTGCACTTGGGAAAATGTTCCTCTAAAGAGTCTTTTCAGTCCCAGGAGACACCCCAGGATCCAAGCTTCCAAAGCAGAGGTGGGGACAGTGCTTCTGGCAGCTTCGTGCCACATGCTGTGGACAGAAAAGAGTCTGTCTGCACTCTTTAGTGGATGTGAACAGAGCTTGATCCCTCAGTCCTTAGGGTTCTGCAAAGGAAAAAGAACATTTACTCAGATCTGATATGGGTGGTTTCTGTCCTTTTCTCTGAGGTTTTGTTAGACACACTAGTCTTAATCTCCACAAAACATCCTTTAAGGAACTCAGTGGAGGAATTCTTGGGCTTCATTAACATTCTTCATACCATAGATTCACTGTCTCCTTGCCATGGAGGGAGCACTTTGATATTCTGGGAACCTTTGTTCCAAGGTATCTGCTTGGTACTTCTGGTATTTTGGCTCTATTCACTGCCCTGATTTTGTCAGGTATGAGCAACATTCTCCTAGGACTTCTGTAGGCCATAGGTACTTCCTAGGATCTTGTTTGGACTATTTAAGGATATAATTTGTTGATTTAATGTAGCACTTATGCTGATGAGCCCAAGAGCACCATTATTTTCATCTTTTGTTACATTACTGCTAAGAAGGTGAGATGAAAGAAGATCCCAAGAAGGTAAAGGAGAGTCTCAATCCAAAAAATAAAAAAATGACGGTTTCTGCAATGGTATTTGTCATCTCCTGACTTTACAGACAAACATGTCAGAGAGATGGAACTAGGAATAATTATTTTAGGAAGTACCCCCTTATCGTCTCACCAGATTAGGATGTCCTAACTGCTGCTGCTTTCTACCTCTGCAGTCCCAGGGCCTTCAAGATCAGGAAAACAAGATGCAAGGAAGATGCAAGTCTCTTTTCATAGTGGCATAAGAACTTCTAACTTTTTTATATGCTAGAGTTGCAAAAGAAGAAAGCATCCTCTGTATTAACAAGGACTTTTTGGAGCCAGCTAAAGATGTCTGTACCACTCTTCTTCTGACCCTTAGTATTTTGAAATGGGGACTCTTACCGGGTTCTGACAGACAGTTTCAACATGGTTGCTGAAAGCCATTTACCAAAATCTTTGCCTCTGCTCTTGAAAGCAGAAGTGTAAATGGGCTTCATCTTTCACCCCTAGGAAAAAGGAATCTACACTGCTAAATATACCATAATAGACTTTTTATGATAACTGATATATAGACATCTGAGAAATATCTGCATTAATAGCAACATACCAATAAATTGCTGTTTGAATAATTTACTAACTTTTATAAGTATGTGTGTACTTTTTAATTATTACTGCCCTCATTTTACATATCATTTTATTTAGTTTTGTCTAGCTCAGCACTAGTCTCACCCAATATCATTCTACATGATGTACTGGTTAATGGCTTAGTTATAGCTTCATAGTTGTAGCAGGATTTATTAGGCAAGTTCTTGTGTTCTCATAAGTTTCTCATATTTTTTAAAAGTTGTAAAATGTATAGAAGCAGAGTAACAAATACCTGGATATACTTTAAGTTGCAGTCAGCAAAAAACAAAACAAAACCAGACTAATTAAAGCTAGATAAAACTTTCGTAATTATAGCTTCAGGCAGGGCTAAATTTGCACACCATGCAAAACAAATCTTTGCTCCTCTGTCTCTTTCAGGTACAGAGTGTTTTGAAACCCAGTCACCAGAAGGATGGACAGGAGCTTAACGCTTTACTGAATGCCCCTCACATTCAGGTAAAACTGCAGAACTGCACAACGTCATTTATCTAGTTTAGAATGGATTTTTTTTTTATTGCTTTTCCTCTGTGCAGCATTTCTTGCAACTATTTTAGTTACTGCTTTATGAGGTTTTTACTTTTCAAGATTAAACATTCCCTTTCTAATCTGTATACAGTAAAAGCTCTGTTATTCGGCATCCCCCGGGAATGGGGGATGCCAGATAACAAAATGTGCCGGTTAATTGAGCAGCCCCGGCTGCCGCTTCTCCTGCCATGTCTGAGGTGTCCCTCCGCCCCTCCCGCGGTATCGCTGCCCTCCTGAGGGCCCCTTGGGACAGGGAGGTGGGCCCCGCACAGCCCGTTATGCCCCTGGGCCGTGAGGGCTTGGCAGTGCAGGCTGCTTTGCCCTGTGCCTTCGGGGCTTGGAGAAACTGGAAGTACCATGGTGGGCATTTCCAGTTTCACTTCATCTTACAAGCTGGCATGCTGGTTAGTAGAGTATGCCGGCTTATAAGCTGCCGGTTAACAGAACTTTCGCTGTAGTAAATTTCTGTATGCTTGATATGTTTCTCTTGGGGCAAAAGTCTTAACTTGTTAGTAATGAAATTTTCTACTAGAGTGAAGTGAATATTTGGTGTTCAGTCCCATCTGGCAAACATCAGATCCACTTAGTCAGATGCCTAGGAAACCATATTTACACGTCATATGTATACTTTAAAATATAACCACTGCAAGTGCAAAGCTAGAGTATGCATCCAATACCATTTTTTCGTGTCAGAGTACAAAACCTCAGTCAGAATTGGATTCCACTGTCTTTAGCACTGATAGATAGAAAGACATCCTCCTCCCCTGAAGAGCCAGTTTAGAATCCAAAAATGAAGGGGTGGGAGCTACATCCACATGAAATAGGGGGAAATGGTACAGTATGAGCCACATGATCAGGGTGACAGTGGACATACAGGAAAGCAAAGCACTGCTGGCAGAAGTAGGAAGCAGCTAAAATTAGCTTAGAACAGTCATTTATCAGATACACAGGGGGCGCATCTACATGAGACACTACAACACAATAGCAACAAACTACTGTGTAGCTCAAGTACTAGATGACTGCGCAGTAGCAACTGTGCAGTCTGTCATACATGTAGACACGGCCAGTGACATACAAAGTTCAGCTAGTTTGTCTAAAACAAAAAAATGGTACTGCTTTTGGTGGTATCTGCATAGTAGGAAGTTGTGGCTGTGGTTCCTTGCTTAAACCAGTTGTGCCCAAGCTTCCAGTCCCATAGACCAGATGAGTGGCATGAAGCAGATCCATGGACCAGATCCCAACAGGGTGGCTGTTTGGGATCAGGCACCATGCAACTAGATCCCACCTCATGCCATCCAGATCCTGCCTCTCGCCTCCTGTATCAGGCCTTATGTGCCTAGACCCCACTTCACACCACCTGGATTGATCTCTGCACTGCTCTGGCCCCATGCACCTGATGTAATGTGCAGGGTTATGCTTCCACTGGGCTTCCCACAGGTCTTGAAATTTGGCAGCTGGGGAGTGACAAGTAATGTTGCCAAATTGTTTTACCTGTGAAGAGCCTTGTAGGCCAGATGACAGCTTCTTGGGTGGGATCTGGCCCACGGGTTTAGCTTGTTTAGCACCCCTCGCTTAATGTATTGCTAGGGAAATCTTTGTGCTATTGCCAGTTGGGGAAATCTTCTCATTGGGAAATGGTTACTTCTCTCTCCCTCCTCTCCTAAAAGAGAGTTCAAGGGAGTAGAGGATCAGAAACAATAGGAATGAATTTCAGGGCACGCCTCTAATGTACAAACAAGACTTGACAACCAGTGAAGTTCACAGTTGAGTCATGTGCACAAAAGAATGTGTTTAAAGTACATCTCTGGCAACTTACAGGAAAAACAGCTTTTATCTTGCTTCTTCGCAAAGATTTGAGAGTGCTATAATAAAGCTCCTTTTCTTTAAACTTCATGATATTTTAAAAAATACCTTTACCAATATGCAATGAACTCTGCAACAGGTTTCCTAACTTCTGCCATGTTTTAATGTAAATTCTCAAAATTCTGATACCATTTCATATTTAAAATTGTAGTTTGTACTGCACCTTCCATTTGAGATTTCATTGAACAATAGCATTTGTGTCTTCAGATGTTTCAGTTTTCAATATGCTATATATTTGTCAGCAGGGGAAGCAGTGGCAGAGGGTCAGATGGTAGGGAGGCAGGTGGTCGGGGAGTTAAGTGACCTGATCCCTGCCCCTTGCCTCTTGGTGTCTGCCGCCACCTGTCTTCATTCTCCCTCCCCACCCCTGCTGGTTACCCTCTGCTGCTTACCTCCAGCCCCACCCCAACCCAGGGCATGGAGCACATAGTTGCTCTGGCTGCAATCCAGCCATGCAGCAATCATTGCAGTGGCAGGAGCGCTTGGCCCCGCCGCCACAAAAAGTTTCTAT